AGCGTCATGTAAAGATGTTGGTTTTATTTGTTTTGATCTTTTTTTCTTTAGTTATTTTATCTGGTTTCATATATTCTATGAAAGGGCAGTTTTAATGTTCTGTGTGTCGTGTTTTTATCCTCATTTATGGGATTTGTGTGTTTCCGTTTACCCTGTTTACTGTGTAGCACTTTGGACCTGTGCTGGTTGATTGAAAGTGCTTTATAAATAAAGTTGGATGGGGTTACAACGCAGGGTGTGCAACTATGCCTGCTTTTGGTGCAGCCTGCAGTTCCAACATCCGGCGTACTGCTATAGAAGCAGATTATGTGGGATTACTACTGACTTTTCTAGCCTACCTGTTGGGATTTGATATTTTAATTTATGTTAATTATATTTATATTTTGATTATCATGCCATACCACTTGTCTGATTTAGTTAAAAACTTATAATATAAAGTGTTTTCTAGTTGGATGAGCACCTTCAGCAGAAATAAAATCACAGGGGGTGAATGGAGACCCATCCAAGATGGCGGCTCACAACCACCCAATCTCCAATCGGCAACCCCAGTCCACGTTGCACATGTGTATATGATGCCTGTGGGTGGCTGGGGTCTGTTTTTATGTTTCCGTCTGAAGTTCATCATCCTTTTTTCATCGTGTTTATTAGTCGGGTACGTCTTCCACCTCTCTACTTCGACCCATTGCAGGCGAACAAATCAACATCAGCAAACTTTACAATAAATGACGAGATAAAAATACTATAACAAAATAAATCTTTACAACTCTAACCCCCCAAAGCCAACCCAAATCTATAGTTTCATGTAAAAATGTCCTCAAACAACAGCAACGCGAACAGCCAGCCATCTAAATCAAAACAACAGAAAATCCCATCATGCAGTCTGATTGACCCAGCTACTCTTAACTCCTAACCGCCACACAGAGGACTTACTGGCTTTGCCAGATTAATTGTGACAAACAAGGAATTATTTCCCAACCTTTCCATTCACCGACACCCTAAAGAGGATTATGTAATTTAGATTGTCTGGCTCCAAAATGGCCGTCACGGTGAGGGACATTTGTGAGTAACAGAAAAACTAGCGTCAGAAAGGCTTGTAGTAGTAAAGGGTGAGAGATGTGAGATAAGAGTAAGACTTTTTTATCACCAGCAGTCTGTGGTTCACCAAGTAAAGCTGAAAAGTCGTACTTTTACCACCAGTGTTGGGAGTAACGCGGTACAAAAGTAATTAAGTACTGTAATGCATTGCTTTTTGCTGTAATGTGGTAATGTAAGGAATTACAGGGAAAGAAAATGGTAATATTTACTCGGTACAATTGTCAGTAACGCAGTGATTACAGCGCATTTTTAAACCCAGAATCAAGCTGTGGGTTTCCTAAAAACTCAAATTGCGGGAAGCCTGAAAAAAGATCCAGTATCCACATATATGACGTCATTTATGGACTCAGCTTTGCGGGCATTCTATGAGCAGAGAGAACGCAGCGGTGACGGCTCAAATACTCCAGCTGCGTCCTGCGCGCGGCCGCTGTTATATTCACAAAATCGCTCCACCAAAACAAAGTCATTCGTTTGTGATTGTTTATATCAGCCCATATTCTCTGGTACTTCATGTACTTTTCAGCTGAGTTCATGATCTGTGCCCCGGTGATTTCAACTCATTGCTGCTGGAGCGCAGCGCATATTAAGCTGTTTTAGCGTTCGGTGGATCCCTTTGGCTGATTAGTTAGAAAGTAGGAAGTCTAGGAAACTTTTTCTGGAAGATGGAGAAAACATGCAGCATGCAGGAAGGTTAGAGAGAGGAAGGGCCGGAAATTATTCACATAAAATCAAGAAAACAAAACAAAGTGCTTGAAAAGAAAAAAGTAGGTAGATTTATCCCCAATACACATTTTTACCAGTGAAAAGCAATAATATATAAGCATTTAATATTTATACATGTGATAGAATCAGATCACCCCAGAAGTCAGTCCCACATCCAGGGCCGTATCAAGGCATTTGGGGACCAAGGCAAATATAGGCTTGGAGCCCCCACCACCTCACTCCCTGCTCAGTTAATCTAAGATGGCAGCGTGCTGAGAGTACAGATTGTTGTTGCTTTTATTTAATAAACAATCATTTTAAAGCACTGTTATTATATCTGACTGTTTTTAACAGCAATCCTAGCTCAGACACCACGTCACCTTCCACATATATGTCATGAGCTCACTGAGCGTCACATGACCAGATTCATATTGAAGTTGTTTTGGTGAAAGTTACTTCAAGTAATGCAAAAGTAGTGTAATGCCTTACATTTTAAAACCAGTAATATTGAAATGTAATTAATTACTTTAAAATGAGGGTAACAAGTAATAAATAATGCATTACAGTTTTGAAGTAACTTGCCCAACACTGTTTACCACAGAGGAGCAACTTTAAACGTCTTCTCTGCGGCTCACTCAGACACCAGGAACCAAATCTCCATGTGGCGCTTTGGTTATCTTCCCATCAAATGTTTGATGTGCAGCTTGATTTTCTCACCGTATGTTTGGCTCTGCGAAGCCAACGGGGAGCGTGTCGCCGGGCTGCAGCCCCAAAGAAGCTGGGTCACGCTCTGGGATTTGAGGCGTGAGGAGGATGCCAGGAGCGGAAGCGTGTGAGAAGAGGGATGCTCGTTTCTGCTGTGTGTGGAGCACCTTCACATGTGACCACGAGTGCTTTTTACTGTACGCGTGGGAAGGAGGAATCCTTCCAGCCCTTTTCTTTCCCCAGCCTCTTCCTGTGTTCCAACCCCTCACCTCCTCCCAGCCCACTGACAGCGCTCAGAGCTGGCGCGGCACCAGAGGACGCAGAGGAGGAGAGCCAGGGTTTCTCTCCTCCTCCTCATGATTCGTGTTTCTTCTCACAAACTATTAAATGTTTCTAGAAATCCTTAAAAGACATCTTCTCTGTTGCCATATCTCTGCATGCAGTGGTGTTTCTCATGTGCCTGTAAGTGCGTACTGCACCAGTGCAGCAATCTAAGAGTTTGGGCAGTTTTCTCGACAAGGCCTTACCCAGAGATCCACTGGGAAAAGTGGTTTGAACCCCCCCCCCCCAACTCTTTCCTCTTGTTTCCGTTCTCTCTCCATTTCACGACTACATTGCCTCTTTTTTTTTCTTTCACTTTTTAATTTTCTTCTTTAATTCTGTTCTATTTCCCTCCAAACCAACCAAAGGAAATCCTCCGTCGGTTCCTTCTCTAACAACGGCAGCCTCTGCTTTTTTTTTTGTCCGAGTGCATATTCAATAGCTGCTCCCTATTTAGATTCCAACATCACAATTTGCATCAAAAATCACTGTGAGCTGTGCACGCATACATGCTTGTGATTCAGGATGTGGCTCTCCGAGTGGTGTCCACACACAAAGAATGCTGATGGAAAGACATGATAGGTGGTCCTGGAGGAGAGGCTGGTCAGACGCAAAAGCTGCTTGGTATTCCGTCCCTCTGCAAAGCATGACACGCACAGGAGAGGGATGCTGGCAAATATGCAAATGGGGAAATACTTTCTATAGTTCACGGCTCTCTAAAGTTCATTAGCTTCTGAAATGATGTGCAGATGTGTGTGGGATGTGAGGGGAATGGAAAACTGTGCTCCAAAACATCACACATGGAAAAATGCCTGAATGGATTCCATTTGTAATCATGGAGGTTGGGAGAGGGGCTTACGGTGCGATACATTTCTCTGCCTCTAGAGGGTGCCCTCTGAAAAACAAAATTCAGATGTTTGCTCTACAGGTGTGGAACGCTGAAAACTTCTTTTTAATGATTATTTCTGATTCTAATGAGTGTTTCATGCAGGCTGAACATGTAAATAGTCTCCTACACCTGTCTCCAGCATTAGCTTCTGATAGAAAACAGACGGTGAAACTCTAGGATTAGAAAATCCTGACAGATCTACGTCACCCTGTCCCTTAACATTCATGGACTCAACCATCTTGACTCGCAACGGGGGAGTCTGTTGTTGGTTTACCGTCCAGGAAACAACAAAGGAAGTCTCAGCTAAAAGAAGCTAACCCTTAGCATTAGCAACTCCACCACACAGCAGAACTCCTCCAGGCTTGTGTTATTTGTGGAGATGAAACATCAGTGCTGCAAAGCACACAGAGTAAGTGGCAGAGATGTCAGGACATCAGGAAATAAGACTCCAAAATGTGTCGTCTGAAGCTATTTTCTCTTCCAGCTGACGCGGGCCTGCTCCCAATACTCACACTTCCACCCTCGTGCCCTTTAATTGTGCCTTCCCAGCCAGGGGTGCAAGTGTGTAGTGTGGCCCGATTCTCAAGTGCGGAAGTTGACCACGCCCCTTTCGCATCCTTGGTCCGCACGTCGCCCAAGTCTGCATCGACGCGGACTTCGGACAAGGGTATTACCCACAATCCTTTGCTGCATGGGACTTTTAAGAAGAAGGCGGAGCAACGACTTTTCTGTAATTTCACAGTTTTAAAGTTTCTTTCCTCCTGGCCGTGTGTGGATTAGGATTGGAGTTAGTGTGATATTTTGTTAGTGATTTTTTATGGATCTCATCATCACGCGAGTTCATCTTCTGAAAACTTCCACCCCTACAACCTTCTCCAGGCGGCTTTTTCAGACATTTTGATGTTCTGTGAAGTTCATGACGGTTCATCATCGCTGTACCTGCTGAGCTGAGTCTGGCTACTGTTAGCCCCCCCCCAGGTCTGCTCCCATCACATATCCCGGGGGAGTACCCGCCTCCACCACCCACTCCCATCTGTCCCTCCACCAATCTGGCCTCTCTCTCTTTCTGCCTCTTTTTGTGATGTCATTGAGAAGAAGTGGGGCCTTATTGTGTGTGTGTGTGTGTGTGTGTGTGTGTGTGTGTGTGTGTGTGTGTGTGTGTGTGTGTGTGTGTGTGTGTGTGTGTGTGTGTGTGTGTGTGTGTGTGTGTGTGTGTGTGTGTGTGTGTGTGTGTGTGTGTGTGGGAGAGAGAGAGAGAGAGAGAGAGAGAGAGAGAGAGGAAAAGAAAGACAAAGTGTTGGGTTTCCCGTTTCAGTTTGGCGGCTCAGCTCCTCGTGTTTAATCTAGAAAAGTGGGTGAAAGAAGCAGGAAAGGGGAGAGGAAGGCTGGGAATTTTAGCTGCTGACAGCTGGTTTTTGTCTCTTTTCTCCTCACCTCCTTTTTTCCTGCCTTTTAAAACATCCACGCCGACTTCACTCTCAAATATCAAGACTTTAAAATACCGGCTGTTAAAAAACCTATTCTTAATGATCAGAACACGCGACCTCAGTAACGTCCTCGCTCGTTTCATTTTCTTCAGATCAAAGCTTTCACGTCAAATCTGAATTTCCACTCGCTTCCTGTGACGTCTCACTCTCACCACATCCTGGTTTGGCCTCAGAAGATGCTGACATACGTAGAGTTTAACGCTTCTGTCAGTTTTCACTTTGCACACGACTCAGAGTTTCTGACACCCTGAGGTGCGCTCACACACACCCGCTGTGAGAGAAACCTCTGCACCATGGTAGGCTACTGCCCAATCTGTGGAAAGCCCGTCTACTTTGGTGAGTCTCTAACGTTTTACTCTTCTCTCTGCTGTTTCTGCCTCTTTCACCTTTCTTCTGTTAAACTTGACTCAGTTAGACTGGAATAAACATTCATTGCACACATTGACGTTACAGATTGATAACAGTTGACCTTTCATGTTTGTACCGTTATCTGCGACTTGTTTTGACGAACCGGTGTCGGTACAAGATCTGCTCGGGTGCAAGATCGGCTCGGGTCCGTCGGCTGCCGATGACGTCTAAGTAGTTGATTGGCTGAACATGAACCTTACGGAATTACGTAATCACGTAACGTTGTTATCACGTGACGTTGTTATCACGTGACGTTGTTATCACGTGACGTTGTTATCACGTGACGTTTTTATCACGTGACGTTGTTATCACGTGACGTTGGTCCAGGCAAATTTTTTCTATTGGAAAGATGGACAACTTTTACAAAGAAATCCATCATTACCTCTTTGAAAATACACTTTTAGCATAGAGCTGCATGTATGTTAGGGCTGAACGATTAACTGCATGTGCAATTAAATTGCGATGTGACAAAAGGAGATTTTCTAATGGCAAAGGCTGCAATTTGGCAGCGAGTGGTTAGCGCAATGCTAATATACATGGAAAAACCCATAGGAATGCTAATGCTAATATCGCCGATTACATTATTACAAATTATGAATTAGAAACGTGCCAAATGATTACATTTGGAGTCTAATAGAAAGTAAAACTACCATCAATCAAATAAGTACAGACAGGTATTTTAGTAAAGCCAGAAAACTTTTAACTCCAGAGTTTTGGCTAGCAGCTATGAGCGTAACTGAACTACGCATGGACAAGACTTCAAAAACTCTAAACACAAAATACTTCAATAAACAGGACACACTTCTTTCCTGCAAATACAATTTCACAGGTGTTGCTAATACCTATGATCCTTCAAGGGATGTGCTCAAAGAGGAGTTCAGCATGAATCAAATATAGTGTTTTATTTTACAAATACTATTATAAACACAAACTTACGTCTTAAGAAACATTATTTTAATAACGAAACTGCTAAATTCTTTCCAACAGTATAGATGTGTAGTGTATTTTGTCCGAGTGGGTTTGCCGTACTTTGACGCCATCGGCAGTCGAAGGACCCCGAGCCGATCTTGCACCCGAGCAGATACTGTACCGACACCGGCATCACTAAGATTCAATTCAATTCAAAAATACTTTATTAATCCCAGAGGGAAATTGATTGCTGTAGTAGCTCAGAATAATAATAATAATCAAGTCATCAAAGAGTTGTTGTATATTACAATGGCTGTTGGCAGGAAGGATCTCCAGCAGCGGTCAGTGTTGCAGCCAAACTGAAGAAGCCTCTGACTGAAGACACTCTTCCGTTGTCGGACAGTCTTGTGAAGAGAATGCTCAGGGTTGTCCATCATTTTCTTGATTCTCTGGAGAATCCTTCTTTGCATTATCTCCTCCAGTGGTTCCACAGTTGTCCCCAGAACAGAACCAGCCTTTTTTATTAGGCTGTTGAGCCTTTTCAGGTCCCTGCTTCTGATGCTGCTACCCCAACAGACGATGGCTGAAGAGATTACCCTCTCAACAACAGACTTGTAGAAGATCTGCAGCATCTTGCTACAGACATTGAAGGACCTAAGCGTCCTCAAGAAGTGCAGTCTGCTGTGTCCCTTCTTGTAAACGGCTTCGCTGTTCTTTCTCCAGTCCAGTCTGTTGTCCAGGTGAACTCCAAGGTATTTGTATTCTTCAACCACCTCCACCTCTTCTCCCATGATGGAAACAGTGTTTGACTCCACCCATGGATGGATATTTTTGCACACAAACTCCTAAATGGACCACCACCACCAGCGTCACACGCTGCACTTTTTCTTCTGCAAATTCACAAAGACTGGAAGAAAAACACAAGTTTGTAGTTTAAAATTTATACCTTTATCTAAATTAAGAAGAGGCTCTCGCCCTTTCTGTCCCTCTGATTTTGCACTCACTTTCCAAACACGCTCGCTCACGAATGCACAGACTTCTGTCCACGGCGACAACAGGATGTGGGCCCGAGCCAGACGAGCGTGCACGCCGCTCTGTGGGTTTCCTCCTCACCTTCTGTCTCTTCTAAATAAACCTCCCTGTGAGCTGCACGACAACGGCTTCACGTCCTCTCACTCGTCCGTCTCAACGCCCAGAAAAGTTCAGATACTCCAATGTGACCTGGCCTCCTTACCCCCCCCCCCCCCCCAACATCACAGTGTCTGGCCTATTTGTGCTGATTAGGGCAACAGCCTGCACTGCCTGAGCCATACAATTGAATTTATTTCATATTGAATCTCTATTTTACTTTAAAAAAAGGAAGTGAAGCCACTAAAACGACTCTGCTTTGGTTTTGCTGCAGCTGAAAGGAAGCGGTCCTTAGGGAGGGACTACCATCCTCTCTGTCTGAAGTGTCAGAGGTGCAAGATGCATCTGAACGCTGGTCAACATGCTGAGGTAAATAAGGAAAAGAAATAAGAGTGAAATGCCGAAGACCCTCATGAATAATTAGGACGACGTGCTGCTGTTTCAGTATGATGAGAGGCCGTTCTGCAGAAACTGCTATCTGAAGCTGTTCGGCCCCAGAGGTGAAACACAAATCCCCCTAACCCTCTCAGGTGCGTATCAGACACATGTTCTAAATGCCTTTGTTCTACTTGTTCTTGACAGGTAACAGGTGACGGATGTGGCCTCAGAATCAGAGCCTTCCTCACGGAAAGCAAAATGATCAGGAATAGATAAAAGTTTACAGTAATATGTGTTAAAAACATGAAACCTTCCATTGTGTTGCCTTCATTAAAGAGCAAGTCACCCCCAAATCAACTATTTTTTCTGATAAACTATATAAATGTGTGTCTAATCGTGCTGCAGACACGTGTAGTCAGTAGCTTTGCACTTTAGTGCATTTCAGTTAAAATTTAAATTTTCTGCCTAAAACTGTTCCTTGTTGTGTCGTTGTCAGGTAAAAACTCTGCACTGCATTTGAATTTAAATCTGCCATCGCTATTGGCTAAGAGGTACCCTAGAACGTTAGCTGGTACCATATGATGTCACAATGTCATTGTGAGCCTGTGTGTGTGTATTTTTTAGAGGCTCCGCCCCCTCGATCTGCTAGGCAACAGCATTTGTTGCATTTTTTCGAACAGGAAGTGGGAGTTGAGTAAGAATCTGGTAGGGGGTGACTTGCTCTTGAAGCATCGATAAAATAAACATTTCTAAATCTGATGGGTGTGTTTGTTTTCATAATTCACAGTAAATTTAAATTTCACTTCCTGTAAACCGCGCTGCAGCGAATCTCAGATGTTTCGGGGGGGGGGGGGGGGGGGATTTTTGGCTTTGAAATCCTGCTTGCTGGCATACATTTTGGGGCGGTTGCATCCACTCAAACACTAATCACAGATATCACACATGCCGATGAGAAAAGAGCTGAGCCACAAGGCTCTCCCTCATCAGGCAGCCAAGGGGAAGGAGGAGGGAAGAGGCAGGGACGGATGAGGGTGGCTGCTGTTGGCAGGGCGAAGCCCAGCTACTGCCAGCGGATTCCGCTGGAATGGGAGCTGCAGGGAGGCGAGACACGTCTCTCGCGCTCCCATGCACTCATGCTCTGACTGCTGCAGGGGCTCGTCACCGTGGGAGCTGTGGTGCATGGTTTTGACACCATTTCTTTTTTCAAACACATAAAAACAGATATGCCAATGTCCTTTCTTGTGAGATGTCGTGCACTGATGGGTAAGAATTTTCTTTTCACGTTTGAAGAAGAAATTAATTCAAGTTTATCTATAAAACCTCAAATCGCCACCAGAGTCGTCTCAAGGCACTTAACACGGTAAACATTCCAGTACAGGTCAGTTCGTTAAGCCAGTCAGTAAAAAGTTTCCTATATAAGGAACCCAGCAGGTTGCATCGAGTCACTGACTTGTGTCAGAGTCTTCACAGCAATCCTTACTTAAATAAATAATAAATAAATAAATAAGTGTTTAAGAAGAAAGAAACTGCAGAAAGGAAATGGAAAAAGGAACAAAATGACGGGATTAGTCTAAAAAAAAGCTGTTTCTGCTTTTCAACTTGTCCATTTTCCTTCTCATCTGCTTGCCCTTACATCCCTCCTGCCCCCTCGTCTCCTCACCTCTAACTGCCTTACCTGGATCCAGTGGCGGAGCTTGATATGTGCAACATGTGCGGCCGAACAGGGCGGCATTTTTCCTTTTTTTTTTTTTTCAAAAAAAAATTTTTTTTTAGCATCAACCAATACATAAACAAAACATAGAAATCGCATGTTCTTAATAATAATAATGATGATAATACTAATATTTCTGTAATAAAAGCACAACAAAGTGTAACCCATATCAACTACTCCCTGTCACATGACCCACGTCAGCTGATGTGAGGTCTCTCTCCTGATTGGCTCCTTCCACGTCGCGGCAACCATGAAAGCTGCTCGTGCCGTGGCTGTAAGCTTGTTGCTTGTAGAACGGCGTTGGAAAACAAAGCGTTTTTCTCCCCTCAGTTCATTTATACTCTCATTTTACCTCAGCGGTAAGTGTTCTTAACATCTACCAATAACACCCTTTTACTTGTCAGTGACCAGTCGATCGTTTTCGCTATAAAAAATGACCTTGTTCGGCGGAGTTCCCACCGCGAGCAGAACTCCGGTTCAAAAACGCTGTTTTTGAAACACTTTTATTTTACTTAAGCACTTTAGTGGGCTTAACTTGAAACCAAGAGCAATCAAATGATGATTGTTATGTGTTGCCTTGAATTCGGCTATGCTGTCTGTCAGACAGTTGTTTTCCTTTATTGTTGTTTTTATATTTGTTTGTAGCAAACGCTACTGGAATGCATAGATTGAGCTACGTAGCCAAGATGATTAATAATTGACCTGTTGTACATTCGTGATATGTTTACCGGTAAATTGAATAGAACTTGATGTGCTAATGAACACAGGGGGATCTCGCACAGGGCGCCATTTAGGCCAGCTCCGCCTCTGCCTGGATCACATGACTGCTGTGATCCGGCTGGCTCATCTGCGTTAGTTCCAGTGAGTCTGGCAGGTTAAAGAGACCGGGATGGTGGAAAGACCGAGGCAAAGTCCTCAGCCAACCCCGTGCTTCTCTTCATCCAAGGTGCCATTTTTCTTGTCATCATTTAAAGTGCTCTTGAGCAAGAGTTCCCCTGACTTTTGAAATGTTGTTTTTACGCAAGCACTTTCTTTCTTTATTTTTTTAAACTTATTTTCAGGGTAATCTTTATATCTCACTGTTTTGTTCTTTGTTAAACTACCTGAAACACACCTCACCACACATACAGAGTTACATGTGTACATTTAGACAACTTTTTTGTTGTTTTTACCTATAAAATGAAAATTTAATAGGGTTACGATCTTATTTTAGCATCCGCCAGGGTGACTAGACCTGAAAATGTTCTTTGTGTTCTTAAAGAGCAAGTCACCCCCAAATCAATATTTTTTTTCTGATAAACTATATAAATGTGTGTCTAATCGTGCTACAGACACGTGTAGTCAGTAGTTTTGCACTTTAGTGCATGTTAGTTAAAATTTTAATTTTCTGCCTGAAACTGTCAGAGTTGTGCCGTTGTCAGGTAAAAACTCTTCACTGCATTTGAATTTAAATCTGCCACCGCTATTGGCTAAGAGGTATGCTGTGATGTAAACTGGTACATTATGATGTCACAATGTCGTGAGTGTGTGTATTTGTTAGTGGCTCCACCCTCTCGGCCTGCTAGGCAACAGCATTTGTTGCATTTTTCAAACATGAATTGGGAGTGATATGCTTCTTGTAAGGGGTGACTTGCTCTTTAAAGAGCAAGTCACCCCCTTCCAGAGTCTTACTCCACTCCATCTTCCTATTTGAAAAATGCAAGAAATGCTGTTGCCTTGCAGACCGAGAGGGTGGAGCTGCTAACAAACACACACACACAGGTTCACAATGACATTGTGACATCATAATGTACCAGCCAACATCATATTGTACCTCTTAGCCAATAGCGATGGCAGATTTAAATTCGAATGCAGCGCAGAGTTTTTACCTGACAACGGCACAACTCTGACAGTTTTAGGCAGAAACATTTTATTTTAACTAAAATGCTCTAAAGTGCTAAACTATTGACTAAACGTGTCTGCAGCATGATTAGACACACATTTATATAGTTTATCAGCCAAAAATGTTGATTTGGAGCGTGACTTGCTCTTTAAAGTTTTGAGTAAAATGCAAAGAACAAGGCCCATAAACAATTTCTGAAGTTTGCATCTGCTTTAAGATTGCATGATTGCATGAACAGAGCTAACAGAGAACATGTTCTAAAATCAGGCCTATTTCATATCAGAAACCATAACTAACTACGGTATGCTAAGCACAGGTGGGTTAATAAGGGCTGCATTCCATTTCTGCAGCTAGAAATACTTGTTTTGCAGAGCATGCAGAAGAGTTGAACTTTCTCTGAGCTGAATCTAGGTCTTGCCTACACACCTGTCCTTTCTCTCTACTCTTTCAAGCCTAAAGTGTATCTTGTGGATCCACATGAAAGATAAACAAAAAAAAAAAAGCAAAATAAACATCATGGGTTGTTAAATATAGTTTATATTATTTAGCTCCTGATCCAAAGTAGAAAACAGATGCTTAAAACGTTTACACTGTTTTAAAAACATAAAAATAAAGCGCGTGGACTCGTTGTTTCAGTTAGTGTGTCACTATCGCCGTCTGCTGGCAATATGAGTTACTTACATACTTTTCCGGTGTTACATCTTGACAGTGAAGGCATCAATAAACCTGTGAATTTACTTAAACATATTTGTTCACTTCTAAATGTTCATGCCAACAAATTGAGTGGACCTAAGCAATCATTTTACGTTACATAATTAAAAAATAAGATTTGACTATATTCATTCATTTGAGTGTTCATTTTTTGGCAGGGTCTAAAACATTGGGTTCAAAAATATGGAGAAAATAGAGATTTGAATGTGGATTGTGATATGTTCGACACTTATGATTTATGGGGGTGTTAAAATAAAAAGAGACCTGGAAAAACGTAACACGTAAATTTAACGCTAAACCGGATGTACTGAAAGATTGCTTACGTGGTGAAATCGCAGGAGATCGGATTTTCAGAGATGCACCTGAAGGCAACTCCAGCCAAACGCAATGTTCAGTGTGGCGCATGCGCACAGTGCTGACAGGAAGCAGCAGTTACGGGTCTGGCGGATTATGTGGACAGATAGATAACCACCGAGAAGCAGCTGCTTTGGAACAATCAAATTAGGGGTTATATCCTCCCGTACAGATGGAAGTCATTATAAAATGAAAACCCGACCTTTCACTGGAAAACTGGTGTGAACAGATTTAATAGTTTATCATATAAAAGAAGCTGACAACATGATGTCAGAATGCGAACTAACAGAGACAGAGAGCAGCCTTCCCGTGCTGCTGGACACCGGAGCGACAGCGGTGCCTGAGCCGGAGTCTGATTTTCGCCCCACGGGCCCCTCAAATGTACCATTTGATAAAAACCGACTGGGACTGGGGCTTGTGGTGAACCCGGGCGTGGCCGTTCGCATTTCGGACTCTCGTGAAAGCGTCTTGACCGAGCTAGAGACCGACGGCTCCGGCGAAGACGCGCTGCTGTTGCCGTGCTTAACAGGAAGCTCGGCGTCTCCGAGAGGAGCCCGAGACAAGCGGAGCAGGCGGAACAGGCACAGCTCATCGGACACGCTGGCGTCCCCAGGTAAGTGCTCTGGGTCAAGACCGGTGATTTATACTCGACTGGTAAAAGAACAGTCGTCATTTGTAACATGGTTGTTTTGTGACGCATATGATCGTGAGAGTCAACAGTGAACGCAGCGTGGTGTGTTATGCAACAGAGCAACGTTTTCGTCGTGCACTCACAGGGTTTAAAGGGGCCTTAGAAAACTTTTTGAGTTTATGTCGTATTGCAGGCCGCGGGTTCTCACACTTCACATTCAAAAGGTTCCGTTCTGATTTGAAGTGAAGCCGATCCACAGGGACGCACTGATGTAAACATCTGGGCCAATATCGAGTTCTGATTTTTAGGGAGGACCCGGACATGTGAAAAGAAATCGGGAGTTATGATTTTCTAATTATCAGTTAGAAATAGTCTAATATGGGTTCTTCAACAAAAATAGTCCACGTATCCAGCTGTTGGATTTTGATTTTGAGCTCGGCTTGGTATTGAATTTAAACTTTTAATTAAAGAGCAAGTCACCCCCTACCAGATTCTTACTCAAGTCCCACGTCCTGTTTGAAAAACGCAACAAATGCTGTTGCCTAGCAGACCGAGAGGGCGGAGCCGCTAACAAATACACACACTCACGACATTGTGACATCATAATGTACCATCTAACATCATAGTGTACCTCTTAGCCAATAGCAATGGTAGATTTAAATTCAAATGCAGTTCTGAGTTTTTACCTGACGACGGTGCATCACTGAGTTTTAAGCAGAATGTTTAGATTTTAACTAAGATGCACTAAAGTGCCGAATTACTGACTACATTTGTCTACAGCACGATCAGACACTCATTTATATAGTTTATCAGAAAAAAAATGTTTATTTGGAGTGACTTACTCTTTAAAACCATCAATAGGGTTTGGCATCACGCATTGCATTCTGGGATGTGGCAGACATCTTGATGGCCTCACGAGTGCAATCAAACCATGAAAACAAACAGTACACCACAGAGAAGAAGCAGATTCAGGAGATAGAAAGTGTTAAAAATCCCGAAAAGGATGCGGACCAGTATATGGGCAAAATCAGCAATATAAACGGTTTGGATCCATAATGAATAAAAAGGGTCAATTTCCACCATCAAATTGACACAGCATAACCTTTCATGCACGCCGGAACTGCTGGGTCAAGGTTGCACCAACTGGAGGATCCAGACGCACAAATCAACATTTTCTCACTCATTGTTCTTCAACGCAGATGTAAAAAAACTGTCAAGGTCTCACCATGAAAGACCCGAGACTGGAGCACCAACAATGTTAGGTTATGCATATATCCACTGTTCTCTGAAGGAGAGGAATGAGGTACAACAAAGGTACTATGGGACATCACGCCCTTGTGTGGCCTGGCTGAAGACGCATTTAATCACGCCAGGACACGTTGGAAGAAGTTCACACGCCGGTCGAGCGTGGGACTGGGGGATATGAGCAAGTCACGATTGAAGGAAAGAAATTATGTATTAAAAAAAACATACCTATACCTATAACCTATAACTTGCCCAACGTAAAATGCAGAGAACACACTCTCATTGAGGCTGGGATACTCCCAAAGGTGATGTTAGGTCACCTTACAGCTGAGATCCACACGGACGGACTGTTTTCCACCTTTATTCCTCTGGCGATCACGTGTTGCGTTGGTCGAGTAATGACCGATAAAACTGTGTTAAGCCTGGCGGATTCAGCCGTCAGTGGGGGGTGGGGTTGTTGCGCGCTCCGTTCCACAGCGCTCCTCTGTGAGAGCGGCGGTGGGGGTGGGTGAGGGGGTTGCACACGTTCCGCTGCTGTTTCTCACCAGTATCAGCTGATGGAGGGCTCTGGTTTCGTTGCGCCGTTCGTGTCAGCGGACACGTTCGGGGAGGGGGGCGGGGCATGACGCTTAGCCTGGCGGGCCGCCAGGCTTATAAAGCGCTGGGGGAAACCCTGCTATCAACCGTATACCGGTTATACCTTGCATTACTAATCAGCTATCTCTGTTTAGTTCTAGTTTAAAATAAAACACCCTGCTCAATACTCCCAGTTTACTGCAGCAACTCGGACAGAACATGGAGCGAGATGGCACTCAAAGATACATAAAAAATCAACAAGACATTCCCTACAGTTAGCATGAAGGCTATAAAGGCCACAGCAAAGGGCAGCTTTGTCACGCTGGTCTGTGGTTGTAACTGTTGGCTTTAGCGGTCTCCTGGAGCCTCGGTATGAGTTTTGTTGTTGTCTCCACTTTACACGTGGCCGCACTCGTGTTTTACTGAAAACAGCACGTCTGCCTTGTTTGGAGAATGTGCGTCGCTCAATGCATCCACTTAAGGGGGAAATAAACATTTTGAAGTTCGAGCTACTTTTAACTCATTCACTGCAAATGGCGACTAAAGTCGTCATTTGCATTTTTTTACTGTGTGGGCGTCGGACGAGCCCCCGCACCGTGAGAACAAACATGTAAGCTCTAAAGCCAATCTTCCATCTGCATATGTCACACGTCACGTGATCAGGAAGCAGAACGTCCATGTGTTAGGAGGTCGTTTTGGGCCGCTGCTGTACAAAAAGTGAGGCGCGAACCGGAAAAGCTTCTGCCGATCACAATTCAACAACGGATTATGAAGGAACGGATAATGCTCAAAACGCGCTGTTTCTTCCTGATGTAAAAGGTGAGTCTCCGCTTTGTTTTGGTTGTTTTGGTTGTTTTGGCGTCAACATCATCCTAGCGCGCAACGTTCTGTGACTCTAAAAACAGTAAAAATGGTGAGAAACGCTGGCAGTGAAGGGCTTTACCGATCAGGAAATGGCTGGCAGTGAATGAGTTAAATATACTCATAATATTATACTTTACATAGTTTTTCTATCTGGAATCTGTATCGGCCCTCCAAACTGGAATCGGTGCATCTCAAACATGCAGATGTTCCTGTGTGCATGTTTAAACCTCTGCAAAATCAGCTGAACTTTGCTTCTGTGGTTTCTGTTGCATACAGGAGGTAAAAAGGTGATTCAGTCACCATGGCAACAGCACAGTATACTTCTCAGATGTAACTGCCCATCCCCTTTTCTCTGCACTATGTGTGAGCATTTATATTCATTCAAAATCTCTTGTTGGACCTTTTTCATCACGTTTAAACTAATCCAGGCCACAGGTATGAGCCTTAAATGGTAGCGGTTGCTGTCCCAATTCCCTCCTTTCAGCACAGACTACGTCTGGGGCAAACATTACAGAATTGCTCCAATAGTTATTAGTCAGTTGGAGGTTTTAAATTTGTTTCTCTAAATTTTAAATGTACAGCAGCTTTCTCTAGTTGCAGTCACCCATTTCTTTCACCAACAGCCTAAAACATCAAGTAGTATTTGTGTATTACTTATTTAAGACTGCAAAAATCCTTTCTACAGTGCGGTGCTGTAGCGTGGTACCCACTCCAGAAACCATTTCCTCTAGAGCTTTAAGTGTGCCACGTACTTTCTGGGTCCTTTTAACTCACATGGCCGTCTTAGAGGGAAATATTAAATATGCATCAGTGCAAGCAGACTCTCTAACACTCAGTAGTTCAGCACGGCGCTTGATGGATGACGGAGTGGGAATATGGAGGAGAGGAAGTTTTTGGAGTGTTTCCCTTCACTCAGTTGGTTTAAAGCAGAACTTTTCAGACAAATGTGGAAATTTTAAAAGCCATGGAAACTAAATTCTTGCTTGGCGAACGACCGTCCACAACCAAGATATGTTACCAAAACGTCAATCCTGTGAATCCTAGGGGGTCATAACAAAAACCGGATTAGGGTCTCAATTTCTCCCATATCTGCAAAATTTTACTGTTTCCACTGATTCCCCAAATAAGAAAATTTTAACCTTTTTGAGCAATAAATACTCATTAGAAATTGAATAATAATAAAAATAGGGATGGGACTTTAACACGTTAATTATGATTAATTAATTAGAAAAAAATGACTCGTTAAAAAAATTTACGCATTTAATCACAGCTTGCATTTCGAGAAAGGCGGAACGTTTGTTGTTGCACGACTTCCTCGTAGACCGAATATCACTGACACGCACAACAATGCACAGTGCTAATGGCTACTAAAACGGAATAAAAACAGAAAGAAGTTGCCTTGCTTGGACTGATGCAGGATTTAGGAAACACGTCCGCCTCTTTTCTTAACTTGGAAAAAAGAAAAACTTCCAGAGAACAACGGAGTCCGTATCACGGACATTTTTCAGAGATCGATACTGCTGCAGCTGCCCGGTGGCATCGGAAACTTTACAAAAGTTGCGGTAAGCTATATTTTTAACATTTACGTAACATCTGTGCAGCGCTGAAAGCACCAGGCAGAATAATTTTGTGCCCTAACAGTAGTTTATGAAAGTAGTCAGACAAACGAGAGGCACCTGGCTGCCGCTGGGAGAACGCTCCGTGTTCTCACTACTCTGTAAACAATCACAAACAACGCGTCTTAAAGTTGAAAACAGAAGTTTAAGTTAAAACAGAAACACTCTAAAAATGTGATTAATTTAGATTGATTAATTGCAAAGTCTCTAATTAATTAGATAAAAAAATTAATCGAGTCACGGCCCTAAATACAAATAATTATTAGATCTTTAGATTTTGTCTAATGGTAAAATTAGGCTCTTTGTTATTATTCCATTTATTCAGAGAGCGATCCAGCCACCGTCACTAAAGGACTTTACAATCTTTATTTTTTTTGGCGATGCTGTCTCTAGAAGGACAATAATAACTGACAGTCGAGTCTAGTGGAAAAAGTATTCAGATCCTCGAGGACCACCATCCTGCATGTTTTAGTCGTTTTCCTGCTCCTAAAAGCCTGATGTGGTGAATTAACTCCTCAGAAATACTCACAAGCTCTACAGAAGCCCAAAAATCATCATCGACCCAAATCAGGTGTTTCTCAGCACGATGGTGGCTCCTGAGGATCACATGTGGTGCAGCTCAACGTTCCTGTTAGTTCCTCTATTTTAGACAATGACGTCAGAGCTTCAGAATAGATTTTC